AATTAGTCGGCGCTGTCTTTCGTGCTGCGCGCTCCAGCGACTCTCACAAGAGCCTCACTTTTAATTTAGCCCTTTCAGCCTCCTCTTCCCCTTGTGCTCTTTTGCAGCTTTCATTTCCACATCAAACGGCGCTATTAACGGTGTTAGCGGAGTGTGTCAAACCCTCCTCGCCAAGAGTCCGCAAGCGACAGGATATTAAAGCAGAGAAACCCCAGGAGAACACACACACACACACGCACGCACGCACACACACAGACACACACACTCACACTCTCACACACACACACACGCACACGCGCACGCACACACGCACTCACGCACGCACGCACACACGCACACACACACACACACACACACACAGCCTCGATTCTTAAGCACTCTGTGTTTAGTCGATGAGTTATTAACGACAAGCTCCTCGCTTTTACAGAACGACTCCGAGATCGAGCATCTTTAGCTGCGTGTTGCAGGCCTTTGCTCTACACAGAAGTTGTTGGAGGAACAACCTGCAGTCATCAGTAAGTTATCAGCTGCCGACGCCATCAGATCCACGCGCGACATTATATTCAGTGCATGTTAGGCATGTTTTAGGCCTACCTTTTGCAGAAGAAACGCTTGGCAATATCCAGCGCCACAGAGTCCGTTGTGACGGCACATCTTCTGTGTCTGCTCGCTGGGATGGGCTAGAGCTTCTCCGTTATAACGGAGCGGTAGGAGCGGCCGCACCGGCGCAGGTGTATCGCGACGCGCGTCGATCACTGGACGCGGCGGGCTGAGGGGCGGGGCGTGCCGCGTGACGTGTGCACCGGGGTGTGGCCAGGCCGAAGCGCACGGATGGGTGGTTCTGAGGGTTCGAGCGCAGCCGGAACCGAGCGATACGTCAACGTTTCCGGAGATATTAGTGAAGGATCGGGCTTGTTTTCGCCTCCCGGGGCATCGTTCACACACAACTGGACTCATGATTGGCTGTAATCTGTTATTATGTCATGACTAATACCTGATCCTTCACTTGATGGATACCTCGGCTCTCTGCGACCAATAATAATTACTGCACTCTAACCATTTATTTTGTTTGTTGTTGCTATTGTTATTATTAGCATATTATTATTATTATTAGGCTACTATTGTACGTTTTTAAAAATTATTATTAATAATAATAATAATGTTATAGCAGTTCTTGCGGTAGTCGCGCATACATTGCTCTTCTCGCTGCTTTTATTGGGCTGTTTTGACACTTGACAGCGGCTCCCCGTGAATAAACTAACTCTGCTTCTTCACACGGTTTATGTTGTTCTCACAGCTTTAAAACAAACAGAACAACCCGAGTTACTCATTTATGACACCCCGTTGTTTGGCATATGGCGCGTGGCACTGCAGAATAGTTTATTGACACCAAACATTAATGAAGAAGTGCTAAACGTGCACGAGTGTTAATACAGTGTGTTGTGCATTCGTTGGATTCTGTGGTACGGGTTTGCTAGCACTAGCAGGTAATTCAACTTTAAAACTTTCATTGCCTTCCTCTGCGTCCATGCCTTCGGCCGCTGCGTGCAGTGCACTTACAGCGAGTGCAGAGGGGCTGGTGCTTTCAGATGAGTACAGAGTAAAGAGAGTAAAGAGAGTCACAGTAAATGCAAGCAGAACATTCCTGTCTTAAGTGCAAAACCAGCGAATGAAGAGCAAACGCCGGAGGAGAGGGCAGAGAACGAGAGAAAGAGACAGAAACAGAGGTGACCGCAAGTTTAACAAGGGATTAAACCCATGAGCGATAGTTATCTGCCTTTTAATCATGTAAAACTTGTTAGTACTGAATTAATGATGCATTAAACGCCTAAAAGTAGTTAGTTATTTCTTTAATGGAGTAACGCTTTTTATGAGAAACGATTGGAAGCCAAACAAAGAAAGCAGATGCTCTGAAGTGATTGTGATGTGTTTGCAGCATGCAGAGATGGTTAATGGACGGCTTTCTGTTGGGTGGCACAGGAATATAACATCCTATGAAATGCATTTGAAAGAGTTAACAATTTGTCTTAGACAGAGACACAATATATTGCATTACAGCGCAACAATATTTCACGTTCATCCTCGAGCTGTTGTTTCATTATATCACAGTTAGTATATAATTAAATATTTTAAAAGGGCAGACTGAGTTTCTCTCACATTCTGCAGCATGGGTTATATCTCTCGACGGCTGATTTATTGCATTTATTTTAATGGGCAGATATCGTGTTCGCAAGGTCTATAGTTTACTGGGAGAAAGATTCTGTGAGACTTGCATTGATCAGTGATAACACTGAAAATATCGACACTTAAAGAAAACCTGACGAACGCATAAAGATTCTTAAAATATCCTTTAAACACTTTGCATAACCTGCACCAAAACCTAAAGCCTACAAACGTGTAGCATTTTATTTTTAAAAACTAATTAGGTAATAGAACTGTGTGTGACATGATAATAATAATTTAGTTACAGATGTTCATATGATGTAATGTAAGTGTAACTGGATGAAGCAGGGCTCGGGGTGTCGCGTGGAGATCAGCTCAGAGGGCGAAGGCTCATGTTGTTGCATCTTTCAAGTGCAAACCGATCAGAAGATCTCAAACAATGCGACTGTTGTCATGCTGATCCACTTTACCTCATTACAGCAATGCAAGTCACCGCGGGTTTAGGGCAATTTCATTTTATTTTATTTTTAAACAAATCCTTTTTGTGGTGATTTACGAATGTTTGAAACAATACGCAGCCGAAACCTAATTCGAGCAATATGCCTGAAACTCAAACTAAACAATGTTCATATGTCATTTAAGTAATTATTCGTTTCATTATCTGCTCTGTAAGGTGTTTTCTCATCCGAAAGAAAGACTGCCAACAATCATCTGCAAATTCTGTAATTTACAGTGGGTTAAAATATGGTTTTAAAAAGAGCAACAAAAAGCTATATGTATTAGGAGCCGAACTGTCGAGTGATCGTGTTTGGCTTCAGTTTGCTTATTAGATCATAATCATTAGATCTTAATGCATGTGTAGGAAACGCCGCAATCCCAATCGTTTTTCGTATATTTGTGTTATTCTTCATCATCTGACAGACACATGTCGTGCTTTAAGCGTTTGCATAGTTAACAGCTCATGTTTCGGGCTAGAACCGTTTCATCCACACATGACCCACAGCACTACTTTCTTTCTTTCTTTTTCTTTTTCTTTTTTTTTTACAAAATGGTAATAATTTATATGTAATTATCAGTCTATTCCACTGTTTGTGAGACTGTGTCTTGTCTTTACAGAGGACCATATGCATTTCTGGCAGACACAGAATCTCTCCTGATTGTGACTATTCTTCTTCTCTCTCTGTTCTCTGCTCATCCCCGTCTTCCTGGTGTTTTGTGCTCCATCGCCCCTCCATCTCTGTCCTCTGGGCCAGCCCTCTGCATTGTTTGGTCTCTGTCTCCCATTTCCGCTTCGGCTTGTGACCTCTGACCCCTAACCCTGTTCCGATCACCCCGTTTCCTAGATCTACTCTTTCCTTTATTGGTCACTCGCCTCTAAAGTTTGGGGGTCTAATAACTGTTTTAGAGGAGCCGTGACAAAACCTCAGCAGGCCGGCCATTGTGCATGCCACAGTAATGCAAAGGCATTAAAAGCCCATTAGCAGGAGCCCTGAGTGGCGCAGGGCAGAGCATGTGCGGTGTTTAAGAGCTTCATCAGGGTTCGAGGAGTCCAGATGAGTTTACAGAGGTCATGAGTTAAGTCAAGTCACCTTTATTTATATAGCGCTTTTAACAATACAGATTGTGACAAAGCAACTGAACAGCATTAATTAGGAAAATAGTGTCAATAATGCAAAATGACAATAGTAAACACTCATTTTTCAGTTAAAGACAGTTCATCATTGAATTCAGTGATGTCAACATCCAGCTCAGTTCAGTTTAAATAATATCTTTGCAATCATGTCAACGATAACGCTGGAAATGAAGTGTCCCCAAGTCAGTCTTAGACGGTCATCGCTAGAGAAATGTCTCTGTCCACATGCAGAGTTCAGCGGAGAAGGACAGCATGCAGAGGAAATCATTCAGACCCGTTCCTTAGTTTGTGCAGTAAAGAGTTTCAAAGGAATGTGAGGCGATCCAGTTTTCATTTGAGATGATCTAGATCTGTTTCTGCTCTGCTGATTTACTTTTCACTGCCAAATCATCTTTTTACAGAAAAAAGAAACAGTGTCATTTTGCATTTGGATGTCAGCTTGATTCAAACATAAT